GACAAGAAGAACTGGAAAGAAGATCCAAAGGAAAAGAAAAGATGGTGGAGCATAAGGGGGAGATTAAGCAAGGTGAAAACAATAATTTAAAAGAGCAAAGCAGGTAGAATTTTGAGAAAGGGGATAGATATCATAACAGAGGTGGAAGGAGAGAACAGGTATGGCATCCAAGGGAACATCCAGTGAAGGACCATAATGTTCAAATACATACATGTATGAAGCTTTGGGGGAGAATAAAGAAGAGGAAGAAGGGGAAATTGAGATAAAAGAAGTGGAGGAAGGAAAAATCAGTGAAGAGGAAAGAAGAGATGTTGATCAATATGAGTCACAAAGTGGAGGGGGGATAAATAGGGATAAAATAGAGGAGAATAAAGAAAAGAATGGATCGTGATGAAAAGAATGACGAGGAGAGAGAAGATAGCCAAGAGAGACATGAGCATGATATCATGGGGGGAAATCAATCACAAGATGAATGGAATGAAGGTGATCAATTGATCAAGGAGAAAGACTCAAATGAAATAGGGACATCGAGTAGTACTATTAATTCATCAGAAAATTCCCAGAGAGAAAAGAACTAACAGCAAGTTAAAGGGGTAAGGGGACTGAATGAAGGGGTAAAGTCCGAACAAAAATCACCTGATTTGGAGGGAGAGCTATCCCCCAAAATCCATACAACTAAGCAGCAGGAAAAACAACATAAACAGGATACAGAGGAGGAAGACAACATGGATGCAAATATTGACAATATAGGCAGAAGTGGGGACTTATCACCAACGCAGATAGAGAGATTAAAGGGTAGAAACAAAAGAGGATCCAAGCATAATCAGCCGTCACAAATAAACACAAGGAGTAGGATGGGGTCTTCATTATCATCATATCAATGATAGACAAAGTCCTCTTTTGAAATATCAGGTCGGTTAAACCTCAAAATGCTTTTGAGAGAGTAGTCGACTTGAACATGAGACATCACTATTCATACATTGCAATACTAGAGCCTTTTCAAAGTCCCTCCGAACTGGAATATTATAGGAGAAAGCTGGAATTACCACATGCTAAGGCAAATTTTTCGAATAAGATTTGGGTTTTCTGGGAGGACGATTGGGAGGAGGAAGGTTCAACAGATACCTTTCAACTCACTATGAATTACAAATTAAAAGGCACACAATTTAGATTTTCTATTACAGCAGTCTACGCGATGTGCAGTGCGATAGAAAGATTAGAGCTATGGGAGGATTTGGATTTTGTGGCAAACGCAAACAAGATTGTACCTTGGATGGTGGGGGGGATTTCAACACAATAGTGGATGGCAGGGAGAAATTGGGGGGTCTACCAGTGTCTCATTTTGAGACACAAGACGTTCAATGTATTAATAATTGCGCGTTGAATGAGTTGAAGTTTATAGGTAGTCGATATACTTGGTGGAATGGGAGAATCGAAGAAGCTTGCATCTTTGAGAGACTAGATAGGGTCTTTGGGAATAACATTTTGATGAATTTTGCACCAGAAAGTGAGGTCCACCATTTAATAAGGTAGAGGGGTCAGATCACACACCACTACATGTAATGTGTAATTATGATCAAGAACCATTCAGTAGGCCTTTCAAGTTCTTGAATTTTTGGACCAAACATGTAGATTTCAAGAAGATTGTAGAGAAAAACTGGAGGAATCAGGTTGAAGGATCCCCTTTTACCATTCTTCATACAAAGATGAGACGACTAAAAACAGTACTGACGCAATGGAGCAAGGAGACATTTGGAAACATTTTTCAAAAAATTGCAACTTTGGAAGATGTGATTAAAGGAAAGGAGGTGCAGTTAGAATTAGCTCTTACAGAGGCCAACAGAGTGAACTCAGCAAGGCTAATGTAGAATTAAAGAGGTATCTGAAGATGGGAGAAGAGTTTTGAGGCAAAAGGCAGGAATGAGGTGGTTTACAAAAACACAAAGTTCTTCCATGCATATGTTAAAAGGAGAGGAGGAAATTGAACATTAAAGAAATCAAAACTATACAAGGGGACACTATTAACTCACCTCGGAATATTGGAGAGAAAGCAGTAAATATTTTCAGGGATCAGTTTAAGGAAACACATGAGACAGTGGACTTTTCAATGCTTCAGTGTATCCCTAAAATGATTACAGAAGAGGAGAATAATGAAATGGAGAGGATACCTACAAAAAAAGAAGGTGAAGCAAGTGGTTTTTAACTTAAATGGAGATAGTGCGAGTGGGCAAGATGGCTACTCAGGCCATTTCTTTCAATATTGCTGGGAAATCATTGAAGATGAAGTGTGGAACATGGTAAGGGCCTTTTTCAGTGGTTTTGAGCTACCAAGATACATACCACACACAAACCTGGTCCTGATTCCACAGAAAGAGGTAGTGGAGAATTATGGAGATTTAAGACCAATCAGTTTGAGCACTTTTGCCAATAAGATCATCTCAAGACTGATACATGAGCGAATCTCAAAAGTGTTGCCAAGGGTTATATCAGTGAATCAGTCGGGGTTTGTTAAAGGGAGGAGCATAACTGAAAACATTCTCCTAGCTCAAGAAATCATAAGGGATATTAACAAGAGAAACAAACTACATAATGTGGTTGTGAAACTAGATATGGCAAAGGCCTATGACAGAGTCTCTTGGAAGTTATCTTGTTCAAGTCATTAGAAAGTTTGGCTTCTCAGAAAGAATGATTGACATGATAGTAAGGTTGATTAGTAACAATACTCATGAATGGGAAGTCTTATGGTTTCTTCCAATCTTGAAGAGGGCTGAAACAAGGAGACCCACTCTCACCTACTTTGTTTATTATTGCAGCTGAAGTTTTGGCAAGAAACTTAAATGGTTTATTTGAAGAAGCTGAATTTGAAGGTTTTGGGCTTCCAAATTGGAGTCCCCAAATTAACCATTTATCTTATGCAGATGATACTATACTTTTTTGTTCACGACAGCCTAAATCAATGAGGATGATGATGCAGGTACTAAGAAGATATGAGGGTGTCTCTGGTCAACTGATAAACATTAACAAGAGTGTGTGCTATCTACATGAAAAGATGCCAATAGGGGTATGCAATAAAATAAGAAGGATTACAGGGGTCAAACAAGGTAAATTTCCATTCATTTACCTAGGATGTCCTATATTATATGGCAGGAAGAATAAAGGTCACTTTGAAGAGTTGATCAGAAAAGTAGCAAAAAGAATGGCCCTGTGGCAGAATAGGTTTCTTACATTTGGTGGAAGGTATGTTTTAATATCACATGTTTTACAATCAATATCAATGTACTTATTATCAACAATGAACCCTCCAGCCTGTGTCATAATTCAATTGCATAAATTGCTAGCAAGATTTTTTTGAGGAAATGCTAATGGAGCCAAAAATAAACATTGGGTGTCATGGGACTGCTTGTGTTACCCAAAGGAAGAGGGAGGTTTGGGTTTTAGATCATTACATGATGTATCAAAAGCTTTATTTGCAAAGGTATGGTGGATTTTTAGGACTTCAACATCTTCACTATGGAGTAAATACATATGGAACAAGTATTGCAAGAAGTATCATCCATTTATAGCTACAGGATGGGGTTCATCACATGTGTGGAGGAAAATGATTGTGGTAAGGGAGGAGGTAGAGCACAACATTTGGTGGCAGATTAAGGCAGGAACATCAAATTTTTGGTTTGATAACTGGACAAGATTAGGGGGACTTTATTATACTGAAAGTGGGGAAGTTAGGGAAGAAGAAATTGAAGTAAAGGATTTTGTTAGAGGGAAGATGGGATGAAAAAAACTAGTTGAATACCTGTCTACAGAAATGGTGGAGTATGTTAAGGATAACATAATTCCTCCTAATAGAGAGGATCAAAATGATAAAGCTTGGTGGACACATGGAGACTTTACTGTAAAATCAGCTTGGCAGAAAGTGAGGAAAAAGAAGGAGATCATTTTGATTATATATGGAATAAGGATGTCATTTTAGGTCATTTTTTCCCTATGGAGGGTATGGAAGAGGAGGGTCCCAACTGATGATAATCTAAAGAGAATGAAAATTCAGCTAGTATCAAGATGTTGGTGTTGTGAGAAGAAAGAGGAGGAAACAATGACACATTTATTCCTAACAGCCTCCATAGCCAATAGGCTATGGAAGCAGTTTGTTGGTTTTGCATACTTACACATGGATGGGATGCATTTGCAACAATTGATTATAGCATGGTGGACACACAAAACCTCACCACAATTGCAAGGAGTTATGAGGGCTATGCCAGCTATAATCATGTGGACTTTATGGAAGGGGAGAAATAATCTGAAACATGGAGGGAACTCAACCTTCAATGGGATGGTGATGCAAGTGCATGATATGGTTAAAAAGCTAGGGAAAAGGTTATACCTTTGGATATATTTGGAGTCAACCCAATGGTCAGATATAACCAGAAGACTGAGGAGGTACAAGCCAAAGCTACACTATTATAGTGTGGTATGGAGACCCCCTGACATGCAAAAGCTGAAATGCAATGTAGATGGAGCTTCAAAAGGTAATCCAGGACCAAGTTCATATGGATTCTGCCTAAGAAATTCACATGGGGATCTGATTTATGCAAGAGCTGCAGGAGTGGGTAATGCCACAAATATTGAAGCAGAATCATTAGCAATTTATGAATCATTGGAGTATTGTTGGGAAAAGAACTTAAGAGAGGTCATAATAGAAACAGACATTGAGTCTAGTGAAGATGATAAAGAGGACAATGGAAGATACCATGGGAATTGGTGGAAAGAGGGGAAAGGACAAGGAAAAGGTTACAAGGATTAAATGCTACTATTATCCAAACATTTAGAGAAGCTAACAGTGTGCCAGATCTACTATCTACTGGCAAAAGAGGTCGTGGAATCGCAACATATAAAAGAATATACAGCCTTTGGGGATCTACCAACACACATCAGGAGACAAATAAAAGCGACAAAGCACAAATACCAACATTAAGAATCAGGATGAGAAAGATAAACAGTCAGCATTGAGGATAACAGAAGCAGCAAAAGGGAGAAAATCATTAACATGTCAGCAATAAATACGAGAGGAGTTTATTTACAACATAACAGAAAATACAGAACTGAAGCTACGACTTAGGCCCGGAAACACGAAGGTAGGGAGTTTTGAGCTAGAAGATCGAACCATGGCTACTAGAAACCTTCACAGCATCACAAAGAGCTCCAATCAGTGTTTCTTCATCCCATTGAGAGTAAACCCAAACCATCTATCAGATGAAGAATTGATTAGGGAAAAACAAAATGGAAACAACTTTAAAATGAGGGGAAAAGAGATACCAGATGTCAGTTTCTACCATGGCAAGACAAGATCGAGCTTAAAGAGAAGAAGGAGCCAAAAAGATGGGATTCAAGCAACACAACGTCACTTGAGGAAAAGGAGGTGGAGAGCTCACTAGACTAATACTTTCCTAATAGGGATAGACATAAGCTGATTTTAGGAACTTAAATTTTATTTTGGGCCTTGGGCCATTGTTTGCTTTGTTAACTTTGAGAGAATGAAGCAATATGTCCTTGAACTGTGAAATTTGGTACTATAATATTGTTCTCCATTCACCTATTGAGTCAAAACTTTAACGTTAACGTTTTGACTCAAGATTGGCCTTTAAGAATAACGGGCACACACCCAATTGAAATTATTTAAAAGGTGTTGGATCTCATAGTAATTTTAAAAAATAAAATAAAATCAATGATCTCTTTTTCTCTTTCTTCTGGTCTTTTAAGGATTTGAGCTCATAATGACAAATATTTATTATTTACTTATTTGCTTCGTGTTAACAACAATATTACCTCGGTTTTAAAATGGAAGCTAGTGCTGACAATACTCTCTATAAACTACCACTAGTATATTATTATGACACTACAGCTACTCTCAGCTGATACATAACAATAAAATTCAAGAATGAGTAGCACAAAAGATTTCATAGATTCAGATTCTTACATGTCAACTCCTTGATTTGGATGAGCTTGGAGTTATTGCTCCTTTTGAGTGTGTTTATAGGTAAGGTTCTCTTTTCTTTTCTTTTGAGAGCCATGGAATTGTAGCAACAGTGAGTTGCTGATGACAAATATTGAGCTCATAGCCATTAACCCTCCTGTCACGAAAAAAAAAAAGTAACAGCTGTTAATTCTCTTTCACAATTTGCACCGCGGTTAAAGGTTGATTAAGGTTGAATTTTCTCCAAAATCACCAACAGATGAATAAAGAAACCACAGTGGAAAACCCTCTAAGAGATATCTATATATTGGCCATATTTTCCAGAGGATTGTCAACAAGATGCCAGATAAATGATAGGCAACAACAAGCATCTTAAATCATTTGGACCGAGAGGCAGAACAAGCAGTATGGATGTTATTTACCTGAAAGAGATGGTGTCATTGCAAAATCAAAATTTGGAAGTAGCACTCCAGCTGCAATGGGTATCGCAACCACATTATATGCAACCGCCCAAGACAAATTTTGATGAACTTTTGCCATTGTTGCCTGTGCAAGATCAAGAGTTTCCAGCACCTGCCAAAAAAAATAGGAAGCATTGACAATACAAGATAAGGCACATCATCATTTTTTCCATCTGAATAAATTCACAGGCAAATTGCATTGAACAATTGTGTAATTATCCCATAGAAATTGCTGATATATTCACAGAGGGATGTACAGTCTGCTTTCAGTCACCTGAACCTATTCTTCACGGTAATCCTCAAAACTATAGAGTGAAAAAAGTTAATGTGCTGTAAGTTATTCTTTGTGCTATGATATTCAGAAACTTTTTACAAATAAAAAAGATCCACCTTGTTTTTTCTCGACTGGAAATTTTGAATCCATCTTCTCATGACCATTCAATGAAAATGATAAGCAGAAACAAGACACGATAGGATAATGACTAAATAGTTATTCCTCTTATGTGACACAATACATGTTACCACTTATTAAAGAAAAAATAACTTGGTACACCTTACACTATTTTTATGGTCAACGCTAATATGTGAAGAGATCATTAATATTTTTTGAATAGACATAATTAAATAAAAGCCTCACTGTGATGACATGGAACAAGTTATTTATTTTAGGATGAATGTGATGACATGGAACATGTACCTGTGATAGTTTATTTCCAAGGAGTATAACGGATGCTGCATTTGAAGCAGCAGTTTCCTGTCCTTCAACTTGCAAAGCAATCCCCACATCAGCAAGAGCAAGAGAAGGTGCATCATTAATGCCATCACCAACCTTCAATATGAAGTTCCAGTTAGATAGCCATGCATAGTATCTGACATGGAGCAAATCAGATGTTCATATAGTACAAAACTAATACTCTTTGAGAGAGAAATAGAATAATGAATAGCCACAATGAGAAAAAGGAAATATGATGACACTTGCTAGAGGGGCAAAAAGACAGCTCAATTATTGGATGTTATGTGCCATTGAGAAGCAGTTTCCTTCAAAAGGGCCATGTAATTGTAGAAGTCAATTTTTATATGTTAACTTTTACGATTATATAAACCAAAGTTTTCTGGGAAAAAGGTAGCAGCCAATTGCACAAAGTATTACGGGTAAGATAACTTCTACATGTTTGAGGGACAAGTAGAATATTACTAGGTTTTCACCGGATAAATGCATTTACCATGACAACGCAATTGCACATGGTATTGCAGGACAAGATAACATCTATATGTTTGAGGGACAAGTACAATATATTTAGGTTTTCATCAGATAAATGGAGTTACCATGGCGACGCGGTGACCTGAAGCTTGAAGATCTGAGATGGCAGCAGATTTCTGCTGGGGTGTTAAAGATGCATTGACAAATTTGTCTTTTATACCTACTGTCTTAGCTACAGTTGCAACTGCCTCTTCCCTGTCTCCCGATAACAGTACTGTTTCAATTCCCTTGTGCTGAAGCCTTCAATTGGTAAGAATTTTAAAAGAAAATATGAGACAACTAAACAAGAATAAAATTAAGATGTTTTACGAGAGGAAGTTAGAAGAAAAGAAAAGGGATGAGCAACATGCAGGTGGTGGAACACATTTTTGCAACGCTCTACATATTGAATCCATTCAAATTGAAAACTGATGGAAACATCTGTAAAATCTTTATGATCTAAGTTTCAATCTATAACATGTTCATAGAAATCTGGAGTTCGTAAAACTGCGAGAGGCAAGTCAATTTAAGGATACAAGTAATTTCTTCAAAAGGCTGAAGACTGGATGATTGCCTCAAATTCCCACATTATGACAACTTCTTCAAAATAAAAGAATTAAGAAGCTAATGACCTACCACAGATTCAAGATGGGTACCATATCTATGCAGCAAGGAGAAAAGTGAGGAGTGGGGCCATGGGGGAGACAAATGATAATTATAACTTCTAAGATGCATCTAAAATTTACACTTGAAATTGTCTTCAAGGTTACCTGCTTATTGTAGACTCAGCATCCTCGCATAATTTATCATATATTGCAATGGCCCCAATCACACCCTCTCCCTCCCGCCCAACATATACAACTGTTGTTGAATGATTAGATGATTGACTGTCCTGTAATGATTTATGCATCACAGATTGCTCAAGAGTCATCAAATCAGAAAGGTCTGTTTTTTGCTGGAAACGTTCTTGAACCCATTTCAGCTTTCCAATTGCAACCAAGAGCCCATTTACTTCTGCCATGGTTCCAGAGCCAGGTTCAGCCAATTGTCCACGTGTGACAGGGATACTCAAATTTAATGATTCTGCTTTGCTAATAATAGCATGAGCAATGGGGTGTGATGTTGTTTTCTCCACTGCAGCAGCTATTTGAAGAATCTCTAATTCCTCATTCCCCAATGACGTGATAGCAGAGACAGCAGGTTTTCCTTCAGTCAGAGTTCCTGTCTGAGAGTTACAAGCAGAGATCAGGTTTGTAATTCAAACAAAATCACTACGGATCTTTTGATTTTAACTGCTGAAGCAAACTTTACAACCAAGTACTCAATTGAAGAACTACTAAACACCTTGTCCAGCATGACATGATCCACACTTGCCAAGCGTTCCAGTACATCTCCTCCTCTGATAAGAAGTCCTTGTCTTGCTCCTATTTAGTTTCAAAAGATAATTACAAGCTTAGCAATTTGGCAGTCTATAAGGTAACGCCATAAAAACTGAACTACTACCTACTAAACTAAAGAGAAAAAATAAAAAGGAAAGTATGTAATCCACAAAGTGTTTTTCTGAACACTTCGAAAAAATATTATATTTCTATCTCCTTGTTGTAACCAGAGTATTCTTGATTTGTGCCTCCAACTGAATTCTTCTTTTTCTTCTAGCTCCTCTAATTCCACTAAAATTGCAGCCCTTATTGCCATTTCTTTCTCAGTCAGGACACTGACATCTTTCACTAAATCCAGATCTGCCAGTTAATTGAGCAGGTTGCTTTTCTTGTTGGCTAACTCTCAAAATTTCCCTTGGCTCTTTGCTCCAAACTTTAAGCTTATTTTCAAGGAGCTTAAGTTTGATGCTAGTTTGTTATATTGGCATCCTTCTACTTCAAATTCACTCCACCAGTTGTGCTAGCACCCACAATGGCATATCTCCATTAAAGTTTGGTGGGTTCCAATGGAAAGTCAAGAAGATATTTATCATAGAAGAAGTATCTTGGAAGGATCTTCTGCCTTATGTATTTGAAAGCTTCTTCTCATTCCACTAGAGTATAAAATTCTATTCAATCTAGCAGCACTATTATGATTTGGTCCTCTGAACCAAGTAATCTGCCTCCATTTAAATGGGGATCATGCAGTTCCATCCCTTCAATCAACTTGGAGAAATCAGTCATTGTGTTTGTAATTCTATTGCAACCCCTTCTCTCCACCATAAGTCTAGTAGTAAAATCACCACATGTGACCCAATGACCACCACGTATCCCTCTCATTTCTGCAATTTGCTCCCAACAGTCATTTTTTTCATATCTAGTGTGAAGAGTAGGGATGTTCACGGTTTGGATAAAAACCGATCCAAACCGAAAAATCAAACCAAATCGATAAAATCAAACCGATTTTATTTGGGTTTGATTTTAGATTTTTGAAAACCGATAGTATTTGGTTTGGTTATGATTTTATTCGAAAAAAACCGAAGAAATAACCGAACCGCGATGTTTTTTGTTTGTTTTATGTTTTTATCAAAAAAAACCGGAAAAAATAACCGAACCGAACAGAACCAATGATTTATATACATATATTTTATTAATATACATACTTAATATATTATTTTTATAAATAATTTTAAAGATCTTATACATATTTTCATTAAAATTTCTTTATAATTTACTTATTGAAAGCAAAAATGCCCAAGATGAAACATTTATCTTATTGATTTCATGTATATGAGTGTCTATGACAATTCTTTGTGGGACTGAGAATGTTATTGTCTCTTCCTTCTAGGCCAATATAGAGAATTTTAAAGTTTTATTGATAGTAAATTTAGTGATTGAAAGTTTAGTAATTTAAGTCATTCTAACTGTTTTTCGTTTTGAATGGATTGTTGTCACTTTTTTCACATTTTAATTGAATTGTTTCTTTTATTTTTGTGTATGATTAATAACCGAATAACCGAACCAAACCAAACCGAATCCGATAATCACCAAACCGATAAATGTATATTATATTTGGTTTGGTTTGATTTTGATAATTTTAAAACCGATTAAGTTGGTTTGGTTTTGGTTTTGACCAATAACCGATCCAAACCAACCCGTGAACACCCCTAGTGAAGAGCATACACTCCTGTAAGGTACCAGCTAAAAGAATATCATACAGAGTCAAACCTGTAGGAAACAAAGTGGTTTCCTATATCCATTTGTTCCCCAGCCCAATTTCTACTATCCCCCACAATCAGGATACCTCCACTACTGCCTTGACTCTCAAGATATCCACATCTCATCCATCTGCAAGACCATAACTGTTTAGCACATGATTCCACATCTTTTCCAATTTGGTTTCTTGGAAACAATAACATCTGCATTCCACCTCTGCATTAAACTCTTAACAAGCTTTCTTTTAGAAATCTCGTTAAGCCCCCTTACATTCCATGAGGTCAAATTGACTTTCATTGATAAGTCTAAGTTTGGACCATCCGCCTTCTACTTCTTCAAATCTGAAGCCAAATTTTTCAGTTCCTTTTTTCCAATTCCTCTGCTCTTGGGAGCCTTGATCTTATCCACATGTCCTTATCTCTTCAAAAAAGCCTTTCTTTCATCTAATTTTGAGAAGAGAGCAACAACTTCCTTCGCACATCCTACATGTAATTTTTTTTTTATGACAAGGGAAACCTGCAGCCGCTACCCTTTGGTGTGCACAAGGTAAAACCCCCGCTCCTATGCAATAGCTCGCAAACCACATAGGAGAGGTAACCCGCACTAGGCAAGCTCGGTGCGACGAGCTCGACCCAGAAGGCAAACCCCTTGCTTTCGCTGGCAAGGGGTTTCGAACTTGAGACCTCCAACATGGAAGTCCCAAGCCCAAACCACTGGGCCACCCCGAAGGGTCATCCTACATGTAATTGAATGGAAGATCTTATCTTATTCCAATAGGTGAACAGTGAATAAATACAATACATAAGGTGCTAACTAAGGAAAGAAATAAAGAGTGATTCCTATAGATCTGCAGTGATCCCTATAAATCTGTTGCCTATATATAGCTATGTATATTACTAAGATTAAGTCTATATACATTCTATAACACTGCCCCTCAAGCTGGAGCATATATGTTGATCATGTCCAGCTTGTTACAAAGATAATCAACTCGAGTTTCATTCAATGCCTTTGTGAGCAAATTAGCTACTTGCTCTCCTGTCTTCACGTAGCTTGTGGAAATCAAGTTTTCCTGAATCTTCTCACGAATAAAATGACAGTCAACCTCAATGTGTTTAGTTCTTTTATGATACACCGAATTTGAGGCAATATGCAGGGCAGCTTGATTATCACACCAGAGTTTTGCTGGTGTATGATGTTCCAACCCAATTTCAGTTAGAAGATGATGTATCCACATAATCACACATGTAGACTATGACATAGCTCTGTACTCAGATTCTGCACTGGATCGAGATACAACACTTTGCTTCTTACTCCTCCATGAAACTAGGTTCCCTCCAACAAAGACACAATAGCCTGTAGTCGATCTCCTGTCAATTTTGGATCCAGCATAGTCAGCATCTGCAAAACACTCAACACGAGTATGACCGTGATTGCTATATAATATCCCAAGTCCAGGGGCTCCTTTCAAGTAACATAAAATCTGTTCCAAAGCTGCCCAGTATTTGACTGTAGGCGAGGACATAAACAGGCTAACAACACTTACTGCAAAAGCATGTATGGACGAGTCACAACAAGGTAGTTTAACTTCCCAACTAACCTCCTGTATCTCTCAGGATCATCAAAGGGGTCGCCATCATCTTTCATAAGCTGCACATTGGGAGCCATTGGAGTACTGCAAGGTTTAGCTGCCAACTTACCAGTGTCTGCAAGAAGATCAAAAATATACTTTCTCTGAGACAAAAGAATTCCCTTGTTTCTATTCACCTCTATACCCAGCAAGTATTTTAACTGACCCAAGTCTTTCGTATGAAACCTAGTATGCATGAAGGATTTGAGGGAAGAGATCCCCGCATAATCACTTCCTGTGATGACAATGTCATCAACATACACAACCAGCAGGATAGTGCCAACTGTTGATTGTCGGTAGAAGACTGAGTGATCACATTTGCTCATTTTCATCCCAAACTCCAGGACTACCTCACTGAACTTCCCAAACCAAGCTCGGGGACTCTGTTTCAAGCCATACAAAAACTTCTTCAAATAACAGACTCTCCCATACTCCCCCTGAGCAACAAAACCAGGTGGTTGCTCCATATATACTTCCTCTTGAAGATCACCATGAAGGAATGCATTTTTTATATCCAACTGATGTAAAGGCCAATTCACAGAAGCAGCTAAAGGAATGAACAAGCGGACGGAAGTAAGTTTGGCAACTGGAGAGAAAGTGTCTGAATAATCCACTCCATAAGTTTGAGCATACCATTTAGCCACAAGCCTGGCCTTAAGTCCTGCCACAGAACCATCTGGATTAACTTTAACTGTGAACACCCACTTACATCCCACTATTTCTTCGTGCTAGGTAAATCCACCAAATCCCAAGTGTGATTTTCCTCCAAGGCATGTATTTCCTCAAGCATCGCATCATACCATCCAGGATGGTTCAAAGCTTCCTTCACTGTTTTGGATATAGAGATGGAGTCTAAAGAAGCAACCAAGGATCTTGACATAGAGGATAAGCGGTCATAGGAAACAAAATTAACAATGCGATATGTGGATTGACAAGTCCTTTTACCTTTGCGAAGAGCAATAAGGAGATCCAAATTCTCTGAAGGATCGGGTGAAGAAAGATTTGATAACAGAGGAACCGGTGCAAAACATTTATCATTGATCTCTCGTCTCCTCGAATAAACTTGAACAATTGGCGGTCTTGCTGGAGCAGAAGTTGTAGGCCCAATAGTCAATTGGTGTTCAACAGGGAAACTAGGAGATTGAAGAACATTATTTGATTGTTCTGTCACAACCCGAGTAACCTGATAGACTAACCACTCATCTTCCTCCTCTTGAGTTGTAGAAATGGGAGGTGCATAGAAGAATGGGTAGTCGCTAAAAATACCACATCATTTGACACCAAGTATTTACCAAGCTCAGTAGAATAACATCGATACCCCTTCTGAAGGCGTGAATAACCCAAGAAAACACACTTTAATGCCTTAGGATCCAACTTGGTAACAGATGGCCGAACATCTCGAACATAACACGTGTTTCCAAATACCTTAGGCTCCACCGAAAATTGTGACTTGTTTGGAAAAAGAACAGTGTAAAGCTTATTACCAACAAGAACAGTCGATGGCATGCGGTTAATCAAAAAACAAGTTGTAGAGACTGCATCAGACCAAAATTGTTTAGGAACCTTCATTTGGAACAAAAGTGCTCGAGCTGTCTCAAGTAGATACCTATTCTTTCTCTCAGCAACTCCATTTTGAGAGGGTGTATCAACACATGAAGTTTGATGGAGAATACCATGTTGTCTCATGTAGGACTGAAACGATTCTGACATATATTCTTTAGCATTATCACTCCTTAGAATACGCACTGAAGTATTGAGCTGAGTTTTGACTTCAGTACAAAAGTGAGTAAACACTTCAGAACGGCTTTTCATAAAGTAAATCCAAGTCATTCAAGAGAAATCATCCACAAATGTGACAAAATACTTATGTCCAGATTTGGAAACAACAGGACATGGTCCCAAACATCAGAATGAACTAACTCAAAAATCGAATCCACCCGCTTATTAACCCTTGGATTTGTTGAGCTACGATGGTGTTTAGCAAATTGACATGACTTACAATCTAGTGAAGGAATATTCTGAAACTGAGGACAGAGCTTCTTCAACATAGGCAAAGAAGGATGTCCTAATCGACAATGTGCCTCAAATGGAGACCTGGCACAAGAGTAGGCAGCAAATTGAGGCTCCCAATATTCATCAAGAAAGTAGAGACTATCAGATACATGTCCTTTACCAATAACTTTATTTGTCTTCAGATCACGAAACAAACAATGATCGGGAAAGAATGAGATATTACAGCTTAGGTCTCCGGTAAGCTTACTAACAGACATCAAATTAAAGGCAAACTTTGGTAGACCTAATACAGATGACAAGGTAATGGAAGAAGTTGGTTTTACAGTCCCAGATCCTATAATATTACAGATTGAACCATCGGCAACCGTCACAGGAGAGAGTGCTACGTGTGATCGAAAGCTAGAATATATGTTAGGACTACCTGTCATGTGATCTGTGGCACCTGAATCGATCACCCATCTTCGAAGAGGATATAAGACATGCTTTTCATGACTCAACAAGGGTAGTAACTGAAATAGATTCTTTTTGTAATTTTTGATATTGTGAGAATTTTGCAAACTCTTCCGCCGAAACCAAAATTCTTTTATCCGAAGACATAGGAGCCACAATTTCAGTCATTCTCTCCAAATATTTTAGCAGCACAAGAACTCATCAACAAAAAATATAACCAGAAGCATGTACGTGACCCCACAAACACAGATGAACAAAGTCTAAAAATGATTTTATCAACTAAGAAACCAATTGTCCACCCAAAATAAAGGAACTGAGTACTTTACCAGTAGACAAGAGCACGTAGTGAACAATCAAATACCCAAGCAAGTAGTTCAGAGAAAGAAATCCTGAACCGCAACTTATGATCAAACAACACCAATTATCTGAACTGAAGAAGACGCTAGCAGCCACAAAACCACAAATCACAAACAAGATTCAGTGTCGCATATAGAAACGAACCTGGAAGTGACGAACAAACTTTCCAGATTGTATTTTAACACCAGAACAAACCTGTGAAGTGACGAACAGACTTTCCAGATCGTATTTTAACACCAGAACAGACCTGACATTCGCCAGAAATACGTTTCCAGATTGTATTTTAACACCAGAACAGACATGAGAATCGCCAGAAATACGTGCCGATGCCGGAAATTTAAAACCCAATCAATTCAGCCAGACACGCACCTTCACGTGCCGGTGCGTGATGAACGAAAGAACTGTATGAGCGGTGTGTGACAACCACTCGCTTCACAACCAGATGCCGATGAAGACTGGTTTGGCCGGAAAATATACCACGCCTCCTTCTGTGGTGGTGTGGTGGTGATAGTAGACTGACCACTTTAAATCAGTGGAATAGAAATCCAAACTTATTCCGTAACACAGCCAAAACAAAACGAGCCTATAAGCTTTGATACCATGCAATTGAATGGAAGATCTTATCTTATTCCAGTAGGTGAACAGTGAATAAGAACAATACATAAGGTGCTAACTAAGGAAAGAAATAAAGAGTGATTCCTATAGATCTGCAGTGATCCCTATAAATCTGCTGCCTATATATAGCTATGTACATTACTAAGATTAAGTCTATATACATTCTATAACACTACAAATGCAACTCACATGCCATGACATTTAGGTAGCAATAAAAGCTTCTCATTAGCGTTAAATGGGAAGTTTAAATTAAATTGTGTCCAAATTTAGAAAGGAGAGATTCTTTCTTGAACGGACTAAAAAGGAAATAGGGTCACATAAACTTGTGCGGAGGAAGTATATATCTAGGGCTAAAGCTAGAAATTTTTTCTGGAATTGCTTGTATTATTGGCATTTCTGATAGCCAAGGAGCCCACATTTCTGCTTGTTGGTTGGAACATCTAAATCTCCTCTAGCAGTTTAGTCTATAAAGCAAGAGATACATCAAGGAGAATACTCTTGTGAGTAAGAATGTGAAAAGAGGTATGGGTATGTCCTCAATTGCTGCATAGCAGTGAGAATGGAGGAAATTCTTTGAACTACAGCAAAAGCATTTAAATCTGATTATGTACCTAGTGAGGTTCCAACAAGAATTGCAGTTGGTGTGGCAAGGCCTAAAGCACAAGGGCAGGAGACAACCTATCAAAAATCAAAGACAACAATAAGGTTAATCAAAATCAAATCACACCATTTAAGGACATCTATAAGTGGAGGATCATATGCCGGAACTTTTAAGTCCCAGTCAAGCTAGGCATCAGAATAAGAACAGACTAGGTGAAATGACCACAGTAAGTTTGACCGACTGGTATCACAGTTGTTTTTTTGGAGATAAGGGTAACTTTGTATTCACAAAATTTTTTGGAAACTACATCGCACAGGATGGTGGGCACACCCTCAAAAAGACATACAGAATTACAAGTTTCCTCTAAAATCGACCATCTCTATGCTTTCCCCTACCAACTCTTGCTTACACCAAAAAAATAAAAGACTTGAGCATTTCATTTTTATCTTCTAAAAACAATCATTTTGTCCTTCAAAACACCTAGCATTCCTTTCTTTCCATAAAGTCCACCATATACAGGCAGTCTTCCACCAATTTTCACTTCTCCCTCTATTGCCAATTCTTATCCAGCTATTAAGCAGCTTCATGGTTGTCTTTGGCATCACCCAGCTAACCCCTAGTATACACAAACATATTCCACAATTTTGAAGCTGCTTTACAGTGAATGAACAAATGATTATTTACTTCTGCTTTCTGCTCACACATAAAGCATCTTGAGCAAAACTGCATCCCCTTTTTTGTAATGCCTCATGGGTAAGGCAAGCTTTTCTTATGACCAACCAGACAAAACATGCTACTTTTAATGGGCTTCTCTTCTTCCACACTAGCTTCCAAGGCCACTTTTTAGTCACTGACTGATTAACATTTATCCTCCAGTAGCAAGATTTAACTGTGAACATTCCTTTGCTATGTAGCTTCCAAATTGGTTTTATCCTTTCTTTGAGATATGGCTAGTGGGGTGTTAAGCACCTCTAGTAGCCTGGCCACATCCTCAATTTCCCAGTCGTTCAAAGCCCTCCTGACCACTAAGTTCCACCCTTGTTGGCTCCTTACTTGAGCAACAGTAGCAGATCTTTGTAAGCTCAAGGTGTAGAGATTTGGGAATAGGTTCCTCAGGCTATCATCCCCTTTCCAGATTTCATTCTGGAAATCTGTTTTCAGACCATTGCCCACACTAATATAAATATTGTTATTGAACTCTGGCCACATCCTTCTGATGGTCTTTCACACGAAACATCCAAACGACCCCATCACCTCCTCAGTAGTCCATTGGCTAAAAAAGTCTTATGTCAAATAGAAATCACCTACCGAGAAATATTTTGCCTCCAAAGGAGAGCAGCTTTAACTCCCTAATAAAGAAGCATCCCTACAATATCTGTTTTCCCTCCTCAAGGTTCTAAATATCTAAATGCTAGAAAATGTACCAAGCAACAAATATTACTTGGAAGGAAAAACATCTCTAAGAAAAAGTGTACTGACCATGTTAACAATCTTGGAAATTGTTGAATTGGAACCAGTGGAAGAGGCCTCAATCCTCAAAGGACTGTCCTGAAACATAACAACGACTTCAAAATAAAAAAATATAATCAGAAATGCAAATCCAGTCTTCAAGGAAAATCCAGTTCTACCATCATAAGGTGTTCATCAACTAACATTTGGATCATCATAAGAGGCACAAATCTAAGAACTCTGAAAACAATTGGCGCAAATCTAATGCACCATCATTCATATAACCTTAACAAGGATCAGTTAACATTTTTGAATCTAATGTCTCTTCAAATGTATACAATTAAGTCATTCTAAAAGGTCATGAAACCTCATTTTGTTACAGATGACACAGTGGAGCAGTAAACTAGTTTACGTCAGAAAGCTGCAAATAGCATATCTATACACGTAATATCTTGGCACCATGTCCGAACAGAGCAGATGGGATGTAGAGGATTCATATATCTGAAACCAACTAGTTTGGGTATCATATTTGATTGATTGATTGAATCTTGAAACCACCATACCCAGTTAATTGTACCAGCTGAGACAGAAACACCCTTCTCTTTAAACACCGGAAGAGACTCTCCAGTAAGCATAGACTCATCCACAACACTTCGACCTGCAACGACTCTTCCCTGCAGAGGCAATTTGATTTATCATTTGAGAATGTAAGATGTTGTATGTCTAGTCAACAAACAGAAGAAAACAAGTATTTTAAACAGAACTCAACATCCTTGAACAGGCATTTGTATTCCTTACGAGGACTGAAAAAGGTGCCATAAATGCTTTTAAGCTAACAATTGGTCAGTTGCTTTTAAACAGGACAAATTTCTCATTTGTCAAAAATTACCTATTCAATCCTAGGGAAAACTTCTTTAAAAAAAATCATTCCTATGTAACACATATACCATGTGTTTTTTAAGACGAGGACCAAAATGTGCTAGAAATCACTGTTAAGATGTACTGAGGTAATAACTTTTTCCTTGAGTAGTGACTCCATATTATGTTTGTAGTAGTTGATGGCTTTATTTTACAGTATTATCCTAAATGCTTGGATAAATGAAATCCAAGGAAATTCGATATGTATTCTGTTCTGCTTTAATGAAGATATTCATACATTCATCCTTGGGATAAAGTCCTGAAAGAAAAGTACTCATGCAAAATTTGACTTACATCTACGGGTATAGTTTCTCCAGGAAAAACGAGCAAAGAATCACCAACTCGAATATCATCGGTTGGAACTACAATACAAATTGCATCAGAACCGACAATGTCAGTCGAGGAATCACTGCCGGATGAAGTAATTACAAGTCTAGACTGAGTGGATATAAGTGACTGCCAAAAGAATCACACCAATATTTCGTAAGAAAAAGGAGTAACAAAGTATAGAAGTTTTTCTAATCATGAATACAAAGGGAAAAAGTAAGATACAATACAAGCTTCAATTTATTTTAGTTCTTCAGCACTTCATTAGTGGACTCAGGAATCTAGTCTGAATAGTGAAATGTATTTTATTTCTTACGCAGATCAAAAATAAAGAGTAGCCTTGTGTAGCTTTATTTATTGTGTTTAATAAAGTAAGAAAACTGTAGCCCGAAAATAACCTGAGATTATTCTTTTGTTAAGTGCAACTATAAGTCTTAAATGTTCGGGATACTAAACAAATGTTTTTCCTCCATAGGTGTGAATAAATATATACTGGCCACCAGAAATAAGAGATCAGAGCTTTTATGCAACTTCTAAAACTAGATCATCCGTAACCCACTTCATACACACCTTTTACAAGCTCTAAAATATAACTGCTTTTTTTTTCAAGTAAAAGGTCAAACTCCAGAAGTATAACTGATAATAACCAATAGTAGCTTTCTGGAAAAGGGAACTATTTAATGCATCAATCGAACAAGAGAAAATTTGATAGTAGGTGTAGTTCATTTCCATTTAAAATATGCTAACTAGTGTGTGCAAGAACTCAAAATCTGTGGACTTATTGGAAAAACAAAACATTTATAATAGTTGGATTTCATGATATCAAGGACAACATATTGGTCAATAACAAGTTTAAATAGGTGGTTTAGCATGGAAATCTCATGAATGGTTATAACCTACTCATTGATGCTACTGTATCAGAGAGCTCAAATATCTAAAAGACTAAAACAACCAGTATTCCAGTGGTTAATAGAGTTTCCAACCTTTGGAGATGGTCAAATATTGAACAGTCTCATAGCCCATATTTTTGATCCATTTTCTTAAATCACATGCAATGAAAACAACTTACTAATAGCTCATTCATGTCACTAGATGCCTTCAGCCTTGCCCTTTCCTCCAAGGAACGCCCTAGTAATACAAACCCAAGAAGCATGACCTGCGTGATAAAATCAATATTTTTGAATGAACAAATAGCAGTTTAGAGATAGTGAAATACTGAATAGATTTTGGTCGAGACAGACCATAATAGAAGTACAATTAGAAGGTATTGCAGAGCATAAATGATATCTTAATGAATTGGAAAAATAGTACAAATGAGAACTACATAGTGAATGTTAATGATTGATAGATGGAGAATGGTTAGAGATTTATGGAATTTCACAAAATTCAGCCATTGCAAAGGGAGAATGGACTCAGTGGTTAGTGATACATTTCAAAATAACTTCAGGCAGGTCAAGAAAAACATGACTAATGATTTAGAGTAGAGGACCTGGACCATGTGAAACCCTGATGATATTATTTGAATTTTGCAAGGACTTCAGATGAAAATATTTTGAAGCTTGAGATTTTTAAATGTTAAAAAAGGGCTGAGCCCAATAAGGCTCAAGTATCTGTGGCACCACCTCGACAACCTATTACATTGAACTTTGTGAATCGAAAGACCCTCTCAGCATTTAAAATTCATAAGCAAATATAAAAAGAGAAACTACTACTTAAAGACTACAATATGCTGACTGTCCTAAACAGCAGAAAACAGGAGTACTTATGAGCAAGCAAATAAAAACTAAAGGGACAGAATAAATGGAAAGAAAATCTAAGCACTTCGAGAGAAGTAGAGAGGAAAGTAAGAAAAGACAAACCGGCTCATCAAAAAATGATGCTTCCCATTGAAGCTCAGGGTTAAGCAGGGAGACCTAAGAAAGAGAAGAAGTTGTCAGCATATCAGTCTTAACTCAAGAGAGTAATGGGTTTCTAATATATTATGAAAACAGACACTGAAATCATAACAAGAGCTACTAGCAAGATAAAGGGCACAACTTTAATTGATTCTTACAGAACTAATTGCAAAAAAAGCAATCGATCCAAAGCCAACAAGAGAGTTTGTATTTGGTGATCCCTTTGTGAATGCCCGAAGACCATCAAAGAGCAGGTCTGTAACATAATTTATTTCGGTTAGTAATGAACTAAGATGATAAGCTACATAGTTCCTATCTACATAACTGCCAAAAAAATGACGCTAGTATTGGGGGGAAAAAACAGCATGGTGCACTAAGCTCCCACTAATGCATGAAGTCCATGGAAAGGGCCCATCCACATTTTCATTTGAATTCTTGACATGACACTATTAACTTGCAAACTGAAAAGGGATTCTCTATACTACTCATAATAACAACTTTAATCGACTCTCTTCCAAGACTTAACCGCAAAGATGACGGTCAAAATTGGACATCAAATTCAATCACACGATCATACCCATTTGATTTTTTAGTTAACTACCACATTTAACTAGAAAAAGTAACAAAGGAACATAAACAAATAAGAAAACAGACAAAAGATAAATGGAGTAGAAAGTAACAGTCAATTAAGAAAGAAACAGAATAGAATTAACAAGTAGTGATTAACCTCGTCCAGGTCCTAATAAAGCCCCAACTGCCAATCCAGCTTTGACATAAGAATTATGCAGTATATCCAACATTGAACCTGCACCAATGTAGATCAACTAGTCTGAGTTATCCAGAACAGAAAATTTCATCAAACACTAGCTATTTAGCTTTTGGTACAGATATTTCCAAGCTGAATTGGATATAATTTCAAAGAAAAGCAATGTAAGCGGATGCTTCTTTCCAAGCAGAATTTGATATAATATAATATTGATCATTATGGAACCGGGTAAGAGTATTTGCCTTTTTTCTTTTCAACATTTTTTACAAACTGTTAAATCAAGTGTTCAAATCGTTGTTGTTCTGAAGTAGCAAGCATGTATATTCACTCAAGAAATGAATTGTGCATCTTTTGCAAGTTTACCGTGAATATGAATGCCAAGAGAGTGCAAAATATGAGTAGCGTGAGTTCCACAGCATAAAGCAACCAGAGTCCAAGCGAAAGCCACTGGGTTACGACTCTCAACAAGCAACGCCTCCTTTTTCTTCACCATGTCCTTCCACTTCTTCACCTTGGCATCGATTCCTAACCCAGATTACCTCTTCTTCATCGGAAAACCACATTCCGTCAACCTCTTAGCCAACTCTTGAGCCGCCAAACCAGTCTCAGCTGCATCCGCTTTCAACTTAACCGCAGCTGTCTCGGTCAACATATTGGCCACAGCCAAGTCAACACTGTCGTCCGCTGATAAAATCGCCTTGACACGTGAGACACACGCGCCGCACATCATCCCGCTCACATCTAGTAGCGCCGTCGTCTCATCATTTTTCAACTGTACCTGCTGCTCAGTTCCACTCGCCGGAACTTTGAACTCCACATCCTTGGCGAATGCGGCATTGCACCGCAGCAATAGCTGACTACTACGACGTCATTGATGAATGACAGTTTATATATATATATATATATAGTACATGTTTTTTAGCCTTTTCATTTCTTGTTAGTTTAGTCATTTCACACTTGGTAATTTACCTCTAATTTTGGACCCATGGAGGAACTTCTAATGGTTTGACCAATATCTTAAAAAATATTTGCCTGATTTGACAGATTACCTCCATGACATTTTGACTAGTATAAGCTTCACAAAAGGATGCTATGCACACAGTTACCAAAACTGTACAGGAGTCAGTATTATCTAGTGTTACCATCATTATACAAAAATGATTATTTCTTGGTTTTATTCTATAGTTTGGGATACAATCTTGATCAAGTTACAATGTTGATTTCACTATTTCTGGTAGAGAAATAGCTTCATCAAATGTAACTTGATCTCTTAACCTTTCCCCATATTGGCTAGTTTATATCTCCTCTCCCACTCAGTATGTGAGGACAAATACAAAATAACACTACTTGAGAGGTGAACAATCTGATCAATGGCATGTTGGATCTGTCAAGGTGCTTTCTTTTTGTTGTTAATCATGTTAATAATCAACTGGGAATCAGATTCCACCATCACATAAAATGAACTTCTGCAAATACACAGTTTCACACTCTGTAAAAGAACTCTGCCCTCGGCCATATTATTCAGCACAGGCCAGGACAGAGCAGCCAAGGTTGGCCCTAATGATACAACAACCTCCTCCAGAGCTTCCCAATTCCCTTTACAACAGCCTGATATCAATGTTTAGTTTTAGCCATTCAAACTCATGCTTATTCCATCTAACCGGTCCACAACTGATTATTTGTTTTGCCTTTTCCACTGCATTACACATCAAATTTCAGGATAGAGGCAATTGGACTCTGGGAAATTGGCTATAAAAATTTTGGTCATGTTTTCACAGACCTGCTGAATAATATAACTCTGCCAGACATGTGAACATTATCATACCTAGCAACCACATCTATTTTTCCTTATCTCCCAGCATATAACAGTTGGGAGGCATTGAAATAGCACTGCATGGATACCATTATTAGCTTTAGATAGTCACTAAACATGAGTAATTGTTTCATGTTACCACCATTTCTAATTACTATACCACAACTTTGACCAAAGGACCAAATATGTTTTGCAATCTGTCTTGTACGAAAAAAAGGTGCATGATAATCTCTTCATTATGAGTAGTACAGCAGGAACATTTAGATCGTAGCATCATAGCAAATATTTATATCACTTCAAACCAGTGATGGATCCAGGTTTTGAAGTTTATGGATTCCTACAATGATTTCAAGTTAACATAAAATAATAACTGGGTTCACAATAGAAATACATGGTATGAACAAAAGATATTGGTCCCCTGAGCGCATACCTTAGGGCTAGATCCGCTCCTGCTTCAAACCTAAGAGTGCTGGATTCAACAGAAATGATTGCTATAGTCTTTTATGCTCAGTCCTTCTCTTTCCTATTTAATGTAAGAGTTGATTGTCTCTATCAAAATAGGATTTCAAGTACAAGCAGGAATAGCCTAGATTATGTTCCAACATTAGAATGGTTGATACTACTGACATTAAGACTTGAAAACTGTGCAATAGTCTATAATTTGACATATTATTGGGCATTCGATTTTTAACACTTAAAAGAGGAGACAAATCTCACTAAAGAACATATCCAGCAAATAAGATACAACTGTGTAAAGGTAATGGGGTACATATCTCAAAGTTCTAGACCATCAGGCAGAAATAGACTCCATCCTGAACATGAAAGAATGCTGGTTTGTCAATGGTCAATCAGAAAACATCATATCTCTGGGTTGTTCTGAAAGGACAAATGATCATAATAAGCGAGCACCATGAGACTGGTACAGCCAAATTCTAAATGAAATCCATTCAACTTCCAAGACGAACAAATAGGTGCCTCAAAATGAATAATGTTCTCCATTTGACGTTATGGTGCTTGATGGCCAAGGTACGATCTTGGAAGCAAAAACTTCATAGCAACAAAATATGTAATATTGACATATTGAAAACCCCAAAAGAAAAATCTCAGAGAAACTAGCAGTTTGTGATTATAGAATAGAGTAGCTTCCTCTAACTGAAGACTATACTTTCTTGCTCAATTTGGCCAAGTGTAATTTCAAGATTGATGGGACTGAAGCGACAATTTTTTGGTAAGAATACTTCGACAGAGTATATAGCAAAATGCCCTGCAAGAGATGACAGCAGGAAATGTAGACAGACATGCCTTGAAAATATGCTATCCAATGATTACATGGCCTGATACTTCAAACACGTCGAGATCAAAAGTCAATTGCATGGTATGACTATAAGAAATATTGCTAGAGTTCAAGAATAGAACTGCAGAAACCAGAGTGCCCTGAAGAACCAGGATACCGAAACCAATAATTTGGATGACTAACCCATATATTAATTAATTTATTTGGTGGAGCATTTATCCTAACAAAACATTCACCATCTCATAAGAATAACTGAATGAGATGGTGATAATCACTGACAATGACAGGAATTCATAAACTTTTGATCAAAGTAAACCTTAATAAGGAGAAACCAAGAACGTCGGCAGGTTCTCTTCCAACACAAATTGCAGAAAATGATATATCCGCTTCATCAGACGCATTCAACCAACCTTCAGTTTAGATATCATAGGTAAGATCATACCAGCATCAACTTCCAATATTCCACGGTCTTCGTGGGTCACATTTCAAATTCTCAAAGGCAGAAACACCCATCAGTTCAGCAGCTTAAACAATTTCATGATCTGCTGTCAGTGCATTCCCTATTTACCATTCCACTATCTTCTTGACCAGAGGAAAATTCAAATGCCATTGAGAAAATCAGAGTTGACAGCATATTCTAATCATCATCGCTCTCCTTTCTGCACTCCTCATCAAATAGATCTTCAGGTGGATCATAAACTACAGTATCTGGGAACAGTTCCAGAAAGTCATCCTTCACTTTTTCTCTCAATTCGGGGTAAGGAAGTAGCCCCTTCAACATAACACGATAAGGTAAAGACATAGGAGGATCAGGAGAGCGCCTCATTTCATCATATATGTGCATTGCCTCTGAAGGTAATCCGCCATCTAGAAAAGCCCTGACAAGATCGCCAAATGTATGTTGATCAAAAAGCACCCCTTCTTTCTTCAAATCTTCCCATACCTTCTTTGTTTCATCTACCTTTTTGTTTCTTGCAAGCATGAAAAGCATATCCCTGTAAAAAAACATGTCTGGCCGATACCATATTTCTTTGCGCACAGCCTCATACAACTGCAAAATTTAAGAGTAAAAGTCAGCAATATAAACATTATATAAATGATTAATGAAAGTGGATAACTTCCATCTCCAGATAAGATAAAGAAAGGGACTAGCACTAGGCAAACATTCTCTATCTACTCTAGAATTACCACTTATGTGGACAACGGGAAGTAAATATAAGAAGTTGAACATCACATTTCTATTGATTAAGATGAATTAACCATCAAAGTATAATTGATAATGTTTCAAGCAGGAATCAGACGTGTTCAACATCGTGAAACACAATGTTACATTTTGTCAAAGGAGTATGATAGTACAACAATACATAGGCATTACAACAGTTACTTCTGAACGAAACAAGATAACATTATTCCCAATACGCAACAAACCCAATGGCGAACTTATAGCAAAAAATTGGAGCACCTGAACCCGTGATCTCTTTGTAAAACTAGATATTTTATGTACATATTTTCTAAAATTAGTATAATATTATTTGTTGGCACCCATGCTACAAGAACACTAAATGATTCACTTGATTGAAAGTTGAGTTATTTACCTAAAAGGACTAGGAATCAAGTGGTGCACCATCTTTTTCTTCAATTTCCTTTCTATATTGTACAATAATCAATTTTTATAACCAAAAAGGGGTTACAACTTGGTAGCAGAAAAAGGAAAAAGAAAAATTCAAATTGTTACCCTCATGGAGAGGCAAGGGAGATCTTGTCTTTGGAACTCAGCAAGAACGGCGACGAGGTCAGATTTGAGTAGACGAGAAACATGGGACTTCATAAACCGCTCAAACCTAACGGCGTTGGACTGCAAGCGCTTAAGCTCCTTGGCGACCATTAAACCTTCTTTCCCCATTTCTTTCTTGCGCCTCCATATAGACACACTTGGGCTCGAAGATGACGCTGAACCAGTAATGATTTGTCTGATTCCGCAGCTATGGTTTAATACCGACGCTCGCCGCAGAAGATTCTGACCTTGACGCCACATCTGCAACTGGTGAACTTCAGGTGACTCACAAGTCTAAATCATGTAAAAGGGGTCAAATAAGTTGAGTAGATTTTCTTAGTGACACTTTGATCAAAAGGTGTCGAATAAGTTTTATTTTTGTTTTTACTGACACTTTAATCAAGGAGGGTCAAATTTAATTACTTTTTTAACCTAATTAGTATAAAAAGTAAAGAAAATCATTCAAAACTCTCGTCTCTCCAACGTTTTTCTTCCTTGAAAATCGACCATTAACAGCTTATTGAAATCTAGATTAGATATTCTCATTCTCCGCTTCTTTATCACCAATCGTCACTTTGTCTGAAGATGAACACCATCGTCGATCGTCACTCTTCTTAAAACGGGTAAGCCATTATTTTTTTGAAAAAATTTAGGATTGCGAACAACACATTATTGATAGTAGGATCTTTTCTTGGGTTAATAAACAAGAAATTGTTCTATAGATATGAAAATTGAATTATGGTCTAATGGGACCTGTTATTTCTTATTTACGAAAGAAAAATGAGAAATCCAAAAAACCTAATTTTTGGGAAATGTGTATGTGTTGTTGTTGTTCAGTGAAAAGTGATTTTTTGTTGCTTTTGTTCTTCTTTTTGTTAGCATTTTGTTTATATATTGGTAGAAATATAGACTGTTCAGTTGTCCAACATATAACTCATTTGTTGAAAGAAGTGTCATATGTTGCAACAGAGGAGTCATATGTTGGTAGAAATTTCAATGTAATTATCATATGTTGGAATATGTCACTATGTGTTATGACAACCAGAATGGTCATCTATAGTAACATGTTACTCATGTGTTGTAACAGAAGGTTCATCTGTGGCAACATAAGCATATTTACAATGTAATGTTATGGACTCGGACGATGTCACATGCGACAAGAGAAAAGAAAGGGAATTAACAGAGCAATTCAAATTGAAAGGAAGAAAGATTCTGGAAATCAATTGTAACAAAATTGAATGCCTAACTAAAAATGAACAAATTTACCAGATGAAAAAGGAAAATCACAAACATGATCAAACTTTAACAGGCTATGGGCAAATAAAATCCAATCACATTATTCCTTAAAGAAACAGTAAACAACAAGCTATTAAGAAAGGAAAATTACACTTAAGAAGCCAATCATATTTATCGACTAGGTGACATATGTCAGGGTAGAACATAACACTCTTCTCCTGCATTTAGCTGACTCATATAGCTGACTTGCTTAAACAACAACTAACTATTATGCAAAATTAAAGTGAAGCTATCGACATAACTCTCATGTTCATATATAAAAAATCAAAGAAAAGAACAAAATTAGACTTTTTTGAATATACAATGCAGAACTTTTCTCATGAAAAAATTAAAACGGAGCTAGGCAGCCAAAGCATGAATCATTTAAGATTCAAACAGATCAAGTTAGAGAATTTCATGGTCTGAGTTTTCAACAAGAAAAAAAAAAAAGTAAAGCTATGCATTCATAGCAAATACAGATCATAAACTAGTATGGATTAACTGGATAGCTTTAGGTGATAACACGAAAAAATGAAATCTACCTTGTTAAATTTTAGAATAAACAAAGAGTCTGCAAGTCACTCAAATCACAGGAATGTGACAAAGAGTTGAAAGAACAAGCTGTTATATCCATCATCAATGAAGTAATTATCATGTACAAAGAGAGAACAAGAACAGAAGCATGATGCACAGTGCATATGTAGTCAAGGGAGCCGACGTGTGAAGATGAATTTGTGAATCTTTAATTAAATAAAGGTTGCTCGTCATACAAATATGACAACAACAACATTACAAAGGAAATTTCCAATCAAACAACCCCTAGTCTGATCCATTTAATACATTACTGAACTCATTTAAATAGCTAAGACATGTTACTAAAGAGATGGCAACAAGCTGGTTCAGCGGTACTCAAGTAAAAGGGGCTCAAGATGAGGAGTAATAAATAAGCATGATTAACAAAATGAGCTCAAATAAGGAAGAATGAAGCAACAGAATTAGACAATTCACACCATATGTATATTTAGCTATATTCAAATATTAGAACAACAACTTTGTATTTTCATTAAGGTTGGACACTAAAATGTTTAAGAACAGCAACATCTTTAGTTCATAAAGAAACTAAAACTGAAAAGATTGTTACCTTTCCGAGGGCAGCGAACCCGGCTCGAACTTGAAAAAAGGGGAAAAAGGGGCGTGAGGGTTGTTGGATGTGATCGCTTAGGATTACTAGGGTTTTGGGTTGGGGAAGACGAGTACGGGAGTGTGGGGCCTGTAGGATCGTCGTTCTTTCGCGGAGAAGAAGAAGAGTAGCGGGTCGGTTCGGGTTGGTATTGCTATGGTCGGGTCGGGTGTTACTGTGCGTATGTTGCTGCTGATTGTGTTTTGTACTAATAGAAAGGGATTGGGTCGGGTTTCGTTGATGGGTCGGGTCTTCTGGTTGGAGGAATTGGAATTGAAGAAGGAAAAATTACATAATTGAAGGTCTTTTATTTAATAATTACCACTTTTAAGTATATTTTTAATTTATTACCATTTTTGTCAACTTTTAGCAATACTTACTTAAAACAAATTTGTTCCTTTTCATGTAATTTTTAAACTTAGCAAAAAAGTGTTGACCATTCGCTCATATCCTCTCTCTCTTTTCTTTCTACTCTTCTGTCCAAAAAATTTAGGGCTTTGTTGTTCTTTCTTCCCCATTTTTCAGCACAGAATTCTAATGGAAGAAGGTAACGAAAATCGCTTAGAAGAAGTCCACGGATACTTAGTGATGTTGGTACTTCGAATCAGAAAGTTTATAGAAGAAGTCGAATGAGAGGTCAAGTTTCATCTCCTACTGCTACGGATGAAGTTAATGACGGTCCCAATTTTAGTTTAGGAATCTCACAAGTATCGGGTGAGCAGAATCATTTGCATTCTTTAGGTTATATTTGAACCGATATTTCTTTGAGGGTGGGGTGGGGGGTTTATTTTTAGTTGTTTTTTATTAACTATGCATGATTTTCTTTTGTCTTTGTCCTTCTTTCCATGAATCAGGATCTACTCAAAACTGGTTTGTGAGTAATGATGGTTTGTCCCTATTTTGTTTTGATGGTCACATTCTGGGCATGAAGTTCATTAGTGTGAAGGTGGATGCGTAATTTTTTTTTTGGGTAGTTGACCAAACATTTCTGTTTTACTTAATTGCAAATATCTTCTCTTTGTCCATTGTTTTGTCTAGAATTAGTGAGAGCTTGTCAAATAGCTGGCAACACTTGTTCGTGTTAATTTGGAAAACAGATGGAAAATATGTGTAAATGAGAGGACACATCATATATTTGGAATAACATTGTTCCATGTTCTATCTGATCTTTTCTCCCGCACTCGAATGTTTTGTTCCAATGGATAAAGTGGAAATGTAGGTTTAAGTTGCTTTGGAAGTTGGTTTTTTGATAGAAAATAGAGCTTTAAGTGTATGACAACTAGCTCATTGTTTACGCTGCTTGTGTTGAAGTTGATAAATTTTGGGTCTGGATTTGGAACCAGAAGTGGTCATTGGTCTTATTCATCTTTAATTCAATTGATTACTACCTTGCTTTGATAACTAAAGGTGTTCTCAGACAACAAGACGACTCGCTGTAAGTAGGTATTCTTTTTTGTATTAAGTAGATATTTTGATAATAATTTTATATTGAATTTTTTAGGGACTGTGGAGTTTTCGTTGCTACATTTGCAGAGTTTGTAAGTAATGGCCAACATATTCTAAATCAACAAGTAAAGGCAGACATTCTCCGAAAGAGATTTGGAGCTATATTATGGGAATATGCAAGAAGGAAGCAACGAGTGACCTTCAAAGTGAAGACGAAAGACCGGATAGATAAAGAATATAGTTATATTAGTTAGTATGACTATGAAAACTACATGGTGTAAAAACAGTTTGTAGTTAGTATGGCTATGAAAAACTATATCGGTCTATTGTAAGTCTTGGTATTATATACCTAACTGTATTTTGTTTATGTAAGTCCTCTGTTTGAGGTTGTTCTTTCTTCGTGTCCTTACTGGGGCTGTCATGGCGATTGTTTCAGGTTTGGAGTTTTGGGGATTACCCAATGCACCGATGTAATTGGCTAATAGCATAAATCTGCCGTCTTTGTTGCCTTTGAACTGGGTGGGATCGTATGTGACTTGAGCTATAATAGTTGTTGGGTAATTGTCGACCTTGTAATCAGGTGTAGATTGTATCAATTCGTATTTGGGTATTTGCCGATCGTATGTGACTAGAGCTAAATGATATAGATGTCATGTTAACACCCTTTTGATCTTTTGACTTTTGTTTGTGGTCTCTGTCGATGAATCCTCTCTCTTTTTCTCTCCCCTACTGGTATATTCCCCAAACCCTTAGAAGGCTGAATTGGAAAGCATAAGCCAAAGGCTAGTTGAGGATGTTATTAATGGCAAAGCAATCCTCTGAAAGTGGGTGATTTGGTTTGCATATAAGATTCTGTGAGCATAGAAATTGGTTTATTATAAGGTGAATGGATGTTAGTGTAATATAATTCAATGTAGCTTTTATTGTCATATTTGTTGGACATAGTAATGAGATGTACTATACTTTTTCTTAACTTTCTGATTGCTTAGCTTTTATTGAGCAAATGTGTGCTGGCATGTACAATTTGTTTAATACAGTTTTAATACAGTTTTACTGCAATTGGCAGTATACTCCCTGCACCATTCGAAACCCCCTTTTTCTTGAAGGCCTAAAACGATATCAAGATTGCAGTGGAAGCACCCACACAACCAGCATACTGAACTCTAACCTTAAAAAATTTACAACTCTAATCCTTCAATACAGTTCACGATATATACATTCTTCCAACACACAAAACTCAAACTGGTGTGATAAGTAAAAAGAAAATGGAAGCCACAAAGATAAGCAGCAAGAACACAAAAGATAGATGAGCATTTTTACTGGGGTGTGAAAAGATCCAGAACCGAGGAAGTACATACCAGATATCCACACCTATAAGAGTCCTCACCAGTTGGATCATTACAAAACATAAGCATCTGGACTAATAGCAAAAAATGCACTTATGGAAAGAGTTATCGTAGTTGAAAACATTCATGTAACAACACTTTTGACAACAAAGTAAGGGACTCTTTCTGTCCAGGGAAGAAAACTGAATCGAAGAGCTAGATACTAATACAAAGCCTGAACAAAGAAACTTCAACATTACGACCAACAAGGCTACTCCATGAAAGGGAGACTTCACTGATCTTGAAAGACCCAACAACAGCAAGCACAAAAGAAGTTAACAGTTAAAGTGCTAGAAGCCAAACCCATACCACATAGAACAGATGACTAGAGATGCCAGACTCAACAACTCCCCTGCCAGTGCCTGGTGATATCCAAATTGCAGTGCAAGCACAAGCACCAAAATGACAAAGGAATAGTGTGCACAAGGGAAGGACGAAACCATACTTCAAAATTACCAAATCCAATCCCCCTCACGGTCACCATGTGGTCTACAAACATGCATCTAACCAAACTTGTATTAAAAGTGTATTACACTATATTAAAATTGAATTAGAAGAGTGAATTAAGAAAAAAATATAAACAAGTATCTAAGGAAACGACGAGAGAGTGTTCTATAAATTGAATTATACTTCAATCTATTATGAATTAAGCAAGTAATTCAATAGTAACAAATCAACCAACAAACTTCAAAATGGATTAAACTTCTATTTAAAGTGGTAACACAAAAATACTAAAGTTGAATTAGTAAAAAGAGGATTAAGAAAGAATTTAAACAAGTAACTAAGGAAACGACGAGAAAGTGTTCTATAGATTGAATTAAACTTGAATCTATTATGAATTATGCAAGTAAATCAATCAGAAGAGTGAATTAAGAAAGAATTTAAACAAGTAATCAAATCATAACAAATCAACCAACAAACTGCAAAAATGAATTAAACATGTATTAAAAGTGTATTACAATGTATTAAAGTTGACTTAGAAGAGTGAATTAAGAAAAAAATTAAACAAGTAACTACGAAAACGACGAGAAAGTGTTCTATAGATTGAATTAAACTTGAATCTATTATGAATTAAGCAAGTAAATCAATCAGAAGAGTAAATTAAAAAAGAATTTAAACAAGTAATCAAATCAACCAACAAACTGCAGAAAATAAATTAAACTTGTATTAAAAGTGTATTACAATGTATTAAAGTTGACTTAGAAGAGTGAATTAAGAAAAAATTTAAACTAATAACTAAGGAAACAATGAGAGAGTGTTTAATAGATTGAATTAAACTTGAATATATTATAAATTAAGCAAGTAAATCAATCAGAAGAGTAAATTAAAAAAGAATTTAAACAAGTAATCAAATCATAACAAATCAACCAACAAACTGCAAAAATAATTAAACTTGTATTAAAAGTGTATTACACTGTATTAAAGTTGAATTAGAAGAGTGAATTAAGAAAGAATTTAAACAAGTAACTAAGGAAACGACGAGAAAGTGTTTTAGATTGAATTAAACTTGAATCTATTATGAATTAAGCAAGTAAATCAATCAGAAGAGTGAATTAAGAAAGAATTTAAACAAGTAATCAAATCATAACAAATCAACCAACAAACTGCAAAAATGAATTAAACTTGTATTAAAAGTGTATTATACTGTATTAAAGTTTATTTGGAAGAGTGAATTAAGAAAAAATTTAAACTAATAACTAAGGAAACAATGAGAGAGTGTTTAATAGATTGAATTAAACTTGAATCTATTATGAATTAAGCAAGTAAATCAATCAGAAGAGTGAATTAAGAAAGAATTTAAACAAGTAACTAAGGAAACGACGAGAAAGTGTTTTTAGATTGAATTAAACTTGAATCTATTATGAATTAAGCAAGTAAATCAATCAGAAGAGTAAATTAAAAAGAATTTAAACAAGTAATCAAATCATAACAAATCAACCAACAAACTGCAAAAATAATTAAACTTGTATTAAAAGTGTATTACACTGTATTAAAGTTGAATTAGAAGAGTGAATTAAGAAAGAATTTAAACAAGTAATTCAATCATAACAAATCAACCAACAAACTGCAAAAATGAATTAAACTTGTATTAAAAGTGTATTACACTGTATTAAAGTGAATTAGAAGAGTGAATTAAGAAAGAATTTAAACAAGTAACTAAGGAAACGACGAGAAAGTGTTTTTAGATTGAATTAAACTTGAATCTATTATGAATTAAGCAAGTAAATCAATCAGAAGAGTGAATTAAGAAAGAATTTAAACAAGTAATTCAATCATAACAAATCAACCAACAAACTGCGAAGATGAATTAAACTTGTATTAAAAGTGTATTACACTGCATTAAAGTTGAATTAGAAGAGTGAATTAAGAAAAAATTTAAACAAATTACTAAGGAAACAATGACATAGTGTTCTATAGATTGAATTAAACTTGAATCTATTATGAATTAAGCAAGTAAATCAATCAGAAGAGTGAATTAAGAAAGAATTTAAACAAGAATCCAATCATAACAAATCAACCAACAACAGCAGAGTACTTGACCTCACACACCTATAAACTTCAAAACTCTTCTCCAAAACCTCCTCATTCATAAATTCAACATATCTTATCAAACACTACCACAACCTCTCCACAAAAGATCTAGCACACTCAAAAATGAATTTAACTTGTATTAAAAGTGTGTTACACTATATTAAGATTGAATCAGAAAAGTGAATTAAAGTTGAATTACTCAAATACTGACAAGTGAATTAAACATGTATCTATTGTGAATTAAGCAAGTAATTCAATACATGTATTGCTCGAAATTCATTCATCTCGAAATTGATCACGTATAGCCGAGAAAGAGAATTAAGCTTGAATTAAGCAAGTAACTAATGACATGCAATCAAATTTAAACCTTCTAACATTTCAAACTTCAAAAAACTTAAAACTCAACTCTCTGCCCTAACTTGATTCATCTCGAAATTGATCACTGAATACACATTGATGAAGGTGAGTATAGACGAGAAAGAGAATTAAGCTTGAATTAAGCAAGTAACTAATGACATACAATCGAATTTAAACCTTATAACCTTTCAAACTTCAAAAAACTTCAAACTCAACTCTCTGCCCAAACTTGATTTATCTCGAAATTGATCACCGAATACAGATCGTTGAAGGTTAGTATAGCCGAGATAGAGAATTAAGCATGAATTAAACAAGTAACTAAGACATGCAATCAAATTTAAACCTTCTAACCTTTCAAACTTCAAAAAACTTCAAACTCAACTCTCTGCTCTACTTGATTTGTCTCAAAACTGATCACTGAATACACATAGCTGAAGGTAGTATAGTCATATTTGTGAAGAAAATTGTGAGTAAGAAGTGGCGAGAGAAAATTGCAGCGGCGAGAGAAAATTGGGAGCGAAAGATGAAAAGGATGAAGTGAATTTAATTTAATTCTGCCAAATTGTCATATATGGTTAAAAAAATAATGTTGACAAATGTGGTAAATATTTTTTAAAAAGTATACACCTAAGTGATTTTCCCATTGAAGAATATAGTGGGCTGCTGATAGAGTTGTAATGGGCTGCTGGGATTTAGTGAAATTTGGGCCGGTTGAGCTGAAGAAAATAGGCCCAAAACTTGGTGTCAGGTGGATTAAGGTGAGGTAAGAAAAGAGCTTAGATCGGAATTGAGAATTTGTCCCAATTGATTGCAATTATAGCCAATTAAAATTAAATTAATTGGTGAATTCGGTTAAAAGAATTGAAATGAGACGAATTAATATAGATTAATTAATGAGTTTTTTTAATTCCAACGAAATAAAATAATTAACTTTATTATAAACTAGTTAATTCAAAATTATAACTGTAATTTTTAATACATTTATATTTGATAATTTCAAAATTTGCTTTTAGGATTTTAGATTTGGGGAAAGCATATGTTTGTCTACAATGTCTAAATCAATGAGAACTACAAGAGGTATACCAAATAAGATTCAGATTTTTGGAAAATTTCCCTCGTTTGATTTATGTATTACCCAAGGGTTGCTCGAAAATGTAGGCTCTGCGGCTAAAATGGCGCAAGAGAGCAGTCCAAAAAAAAGGAGAGTTATGAGTTCTGAAAATCCTGATGAACAAGTTCAAGTTTAAAGTGATGAAGTAATACTTTATGGCGATGAAGAGGTATTAAATTATGTTTTCACAAAATTATTTGAAAATATTTTTGAATGTTATGTAGTTGTAGTTAATTTTGTGTTTGCCTATTTATTTTTTATTGTATAAGTTAAATGTACATAAACAAGATTTGTATTTTTGGTTTTTTTTTTCTGTTTTTCTATCTAACATACAATTGTATTCATAATGTGTATCATGTTGCCCACTAACATAGATTTCTATATATTTTTTTAGAAATTGTGATTATTTTTCATTATTGTTATAGTCACCCAAGAGTTCTTTTTTTCAAATATGATTTTGTAAATTAGATACATTATGTATGTGTGGTTGGTGATGACAAATATTGTATTCTACTAGCTCAAATATTTGTCCCTAATAAGTTGTATACATATATTACATAGTTGTATTATATCAGCACCTTTCTGTATCCCAATTTATTAGTATACTAGTATGAGTTCAGTATTTATTATATTTTTTCGTATTAATTTGTTATCTGATTCATATTCATAAATCAGAATGCATTTGTATATAAGTAGTTTATGTATCAAGTTTTCAGATTGTATTTCATTTTTTCGTATTTGTAGTTTCTCTTATTCTAAATACATTTATATGTCAATAATTATACAAATATGTATTCATTTACTTGAACATGTGCAGGCAAATGATTTTTATGTCAAAAATTATCCTACAAAAGCTCCACATTTTCAGTGTGTCTTCAACAATGACATAAACACAGACTTGATTAAAGATTTACATGAGCATGTATATAAGGTATTTCGTGAGAGAACTTGTTTTGGTCACTGCATGCAAATGCATAGATGTTGTGCACATGGATAAATACATAGGTGTTGCATGGTTTTAGAACTCAATTGCAGTTCTTGTCAAGCATTTTTCATGTGTGTTAATGGATCTATGCTTCGTTTCACGCTAAGAGAATTCGCTTTGATTAGTGAATTAAATTGTGTTAGTGATGAAAAAGATTTCAATTTTGATACAAAAGAACCAAATAGGTTGATGAATTAGTATTTTCAGGGTGTTAAGTTGATCCGAAAATAGATCTAATGGAGAGATTTAAGGGAAAGTGTAGGGTGATAACGATCAGGATGGCTTGAAGTTTGTCATCTTATTCTTCATCCAAACAGTTATTTTTTCTGGTGAAAAAAAGGATCAAAAAAGTTCCCAGACTACATTTTTACTGGTTGAAAGCGATATGTGCAGTCAGTTTTCATGGGGTAAAAAAGCATTATACTTGTTGATGAAGAGTTTGAGCAAGAAGTTGGATAGCTCAAAAACGTTTAACAAAATTGGTGGCATGTCAATTGTCATTCAAGTATGGTTATACGTGTGCAGTTCAAGTATCAACTTCCAAGTTGCTCAAAAGGTTGATGACCACATTTCGAGGTTACTCAGCTGGTAGACGGCTGAAGTGAAACTGAGATATAAGAAACTAATGAATACCATATTCAGTGATGTTAATAACAAGGTATTCAATTGATATATATTGAATAAAATTCAATTTGTATAGTTTTATTATCGTTTATATTATAAATAGTAATAAAATTTGTTTGGTTCAGTTTAAATTCAGGAACATTACACCCAATCCAAGGGAACTTGCAGTATTGCAATTGCCACCGGAGGGTATCAAAAATCAAGGCGAAGGTCAGTATTCTGATTCATCTGACGATGATTTAGATGATGTTACAAGTTATGATAAAGATTCTGACGATGATTTTCAAGAACCTCCTCCACCAATAGTAAAGGATAAAAAAAAAGTTGGTTCTTCACTGACGCCTGTTAAAAAAAAGGACGAAGAAGCAGTTGACTGATGGAGCCAAACAAGCTGTACAAAAGATAAAACCTCGTCTTGTTGTAAAACAGTCGGTGAAAAAGGATATTATCTAAAATTGTACCGAAGAAACCTAATGTTGTTTTAAAGCAGACTGAATCTGTCTCTGCAGATCCAATTAAAACAACATCTAAGGATTCTGACATTCCAAGAACAAGCGAATCTGAAGTGCAAGTCTAGATGAAAGAGTTGTCAGATATCTAACATTTAATACATTAATTGGATATTTCAACATTTTTAGCATATTTAATTTTTATTAAGCTACATTATTATGTCCTATTTTCAGGTTAAACAAGAGTTGTTGACATTCGCAAATTGATCAACGATAACTTCAAAATTGTTCTGACATCCATTAATTCTAAAGATACTGAGCAGGAGGTTCGCTATAATCAAACACAATGATGTAATGTATTTTAACTAATCACTTAGTTTTTAATGTATATGCTGTAATATAACACAAGAGCTGTTAGATTTCAGAAAAGAGGTATCTACCGTTTAATACATTAATTTGATATTTCAACATTTGTAGCATATTGAATTTTTATTAAGCTACATTGTTATGTCCTATTTTCAGGTTAAATAAGAGTTTGTTGACATTCACAAATTTATCAACGATAACTTCAAAACTGTTCTGACAGCCATTAATTCTAAACATATTGAGTAGGATGTTCGTTAAAATCAAACAATATGATGTAGTGTATTTTAATTAACCACTTATTTTATAATGTATTATGTTGTAATCTAACACAGGTCAGACATTCTTATGATCTCATTGTCCCCCAAATTTAAATGATGAAGAGAGGTATAGATCACCAGCTACTTCAATTTCGGAATCTCCATCAAATCAAGTGCAGGTAGTTTAGTTAGACAAACTGAAATTTGAGAAATTGGAGGTACTTGTATTTTTTTTATTAATTTGGTTCAATATGGAACTATATAATTATCTTTTTTTTCTTCTATATTTTCTATAGTTTAAATGTAGTCTTTTTTTGATCAAATTGTATCCAAAATTATTAATACATTGTATTTTCTACAATTTGAATCTATTAACCTTTATAAAGTTGTATCCATTAACATTTGTTTATATATTTTTTATTTTTTTATTTTTCTGTTAAGACCATCAACAATCTAGATGGCAGTGATTCCAAAATTGTTGAGCATGAGGTAAGTCAAGTTTTAGATTGTATTTTCTACTCAATACATTTATATCCATTAACCTTTATATGCCTCTTATCTTTATATTTTCTACATTTATATACTTTAAATGTAGCCATTTTGATCAAACTGTATCCAGCAATCTTAATACAGTTTATTTTTACAATTACGTATCCATTAACCGTCATAAAATTGTATCCATTAATAGTTATCATTTGAATTGGACAAGGAGTTTACATTGTTGTATCCATTAACATTTGTTCATGTGTTTTTATTCTTTTATGTTGGTTTTAAGACCATCAACAATCCAGATGGCATTGGTTTCAAAATTGATGATCATGAGGTAAGTCAGGTTTTAGATTGTACTTTTGATTATATATCAGTACTCCATTTTAATTTTTTTGTATATCCTTATGTGAATTCAATATACAGATTTGTTTTAATTTTTAGTGTTCTTAATACATGTTCAATTTTAGCTTATCAATTTCATTTATAATTTTTTATATTATAAGGTTGTTTATCTCAACTCCCCTGTTCGAAATCTGATTAAAGTGAATGTTGTATTCAGTGATCCAAGACCTATAGTTTCAAGAGTACATTATTTAATTTTATAGACAAATTACGTATATTATTATTAGGTTTATTTAATATAAGGAAGTTATATTTTTATCAACTTACCAGGTACCTTAGCCAAACTTTGCATTTGATGTACCCCAAAAAACAGTTCCGGATGTATTTGAAAAAACACATGAACACGCCGAGGAACAATGCCAATGTCCAGTCCCTATTCAGTCTATGGATCCCATTAACGCGACAACACATTTACAGTTTGAATTGGATGATCATTTCATGCCAAGTCTCAATTCTATAAAGAGTATCATCGCACCACAGTCAACCATAATCAGATCACACCGCACCGCAGTCAATCATAATTGCAGATCACATCACAATTACTGTAGATCACACCACTATCGATGTCCAGACTGGTACGAGCGAAGAAAGAATCATGCATGATCAGACCGCCATCAATAATGAACAAACAATGTTACCTATGC